GCCGGACTCAATGGTGGTGCCGGTCTTAATGCCAATGCTGGATTGAAGGCCAACGCCGGTCTCAACGCTGGCGCCGGACTCGATGCTAACGCAGGGGTGAAAGCTAACGCAGGGGTTAAAGCGAATGCAGGGCTCAACGCTGGTGCAGGACTGAAAGCTGATGCAGGACTGAAAGCTGATGCAGGACTGAAAGCTGATGCTGGTCTCAACGCCAACGCGGGCATAAATGCTGGCGCTGGGCTCAATGCTGGTGTGGACGTGAGCGCCGGAACCAAAGGTAACAGTGGCGGCAACACGGGCAGCTACTCGAAGGGAGCGGTGTCCCCCGCTACGTCAGCTCCGCACAAGACCTCTAACCAAGCGTCGCAGACGGCTGCACAGACGACCACCAAGACTGACGCCTACCGTCACCTACGCGCGTAAGCTCAAAGTGGGGTTTCATCATGAACCTCATCCTCACACCCTTCTCGGCTGAAGCGCCGAGATCTTGCCATCCGATGCCAGCACGGAATATGCATCACACTGCTTGTAGTCATGTAGTTGCAATGTACCTACCTAATGGAATGCTACGTAAGTTCATGAAATTCTTCAATTTTGCTTTTTGGTAGATGGTATCGTCGTCGGACAACAAATTAACTTTGATTGGTCATTATCTTTTTAACAAATCGAAATCCATCTTTTTCTAGCCAATCCACATCCGTCTCAGACCCAATCTAAACGTAGCATCGACTGGCTGGTGCAGACACTTCAAAGCATCAGCAGCACCAAAGGAAGTCCGTCCGTCGCGCTTCCTCTCTCTCTTTCTGGACGTCCCACAGCTCGTCTCCTTCATGGCCCCAGCCAAACGCAGACGCGGCGCAGCAGCTGCCAAAAAGAACGGCTCCGATGCTCCCTCTAAAGCCCCCGAGCCAGTAGAACAGAACGGCATCAAGGTCACACCCAACGCCGAGGCGCAGGCACTCTCTGAGACCCTCGCACGGCTCAAAACCGAGTACGAACCGATCATTAAGGAGCTGCAGGGGAGATTCAGCTTCATCCGTGCGCTGCTTATCGAGTTCTGGCCTGAAATGCAGCGCGACCCGCGCGATGAAGCGCAGCTGCCGGTCGAGGGCGACGCGCAGTGGTTCTGGTTCGCCGAGATGCAGTTTATGGTGATTTTCCTGTACGAGATCGCCTTCATGGAGTTCTCTATGAGCGTGACTAAGCCAGACTCCATCACACTGGAGCAAACGCAGGAAAAGACGACGCTGGCTCATCGTCAGGACATGGAGGAGCGTGTCAGCTTCCTATCACGACTGAAAAACTACGTGGACGACTTGGCCAAGTGCCGCTTAGCAGCCACCAAACAGACAGGCAAAAAATTGCCCCGTGTATTCCGCCTCGCAGACATGTACAAGCTCTCAACAGGAGAGACGACGTTGCTCCAGCTGCTCGTGGTCATGCAGGGCTGTCAGAGCAATGCTGTGCGTTGCCAGATCTTGGACGAGGACTCTCAACGGAGAGTTATGACGTGTCAGAGGCTGTCGGGGCTGTCGGAAGTGGACATCGCAGAGTTCCGAGACGATGAGCGCGAACACGTGAAGGAAGGCACGCTTATTGTGGACGAGGAGACGTACTGTACGAGTATCAGTCTGTCGAACATCTGTGTGCGTGTGCTGCTGGGACGGCACTTGACGAGTAATCAGGCGTTGAAGGTGAGTCAGACGGCGCTGGAGGAGCTACTTAAGGGCGAGGGAATGTCTTTCGGTGAGGTATTAGATACCTCGACGTCAGGTACTGGTACGTCGAACGTCACTGGACACAAACGCGACCGTAGTGATAAGGTGGACGAAGAACATGAAGAGGAAGAGGCTGAACACCACGGGATTAGTGAGAGTGAGGAGGAACACGAAGACCAGGAAGATCCCAGTGCGTCGGCGTTCTCGTTTATTGGCAAATACAAGACGGACAGCAAACGTGCCAAGCGTCAAGCGAAAGAAGATGAAAAACTGTTGCTGAAAGCTGCCGAGGCGGGCAGTGACAAGCACCATTTGCTGTCTTCTTTGATGGACTCGAGTGAACTGAAACCGTACAGTCCGGAGAACCAACTGGAGTATCTGGAGGACCGTTTCCAGGTTGTGGCGTTCGCGATCCGTGCGTCGGGTGCACGTGTGAAGGACCAGATGAAGGAAGCAGGCACGAAGCAGCCATGGGAATCGTCGGCACCTGCGTCTGCTGGTCGACGTGAACTCAAGGCCAAACAGCGCGTGTACAGCCGTCGGGCGCAGCATCGATTGGCTTTGACACGACGAGCTGGTCGTCCTTTGCCACGACTGGAGGAATTGGCGGCCAAGTTCAAGCTGAATCGCTTCGAACAGAATGTGATCGTGATGCTCATTGGCAAGACCATCTCTCCGGTGATCAAGAACCTCATTGACGGCGTGGACACGTCTCCAGTGCAGCGTATGGACGAGAGTGTGATCATCAACCAGATTCTGTCCATCTTCTGTGATACTTTCCAAGAACAAGTGGCGCATCGAGTCTTCTTCTACAAGTCTTCGCGTCTGCTCAGTCGCGGTCTCGTGAAGCTTCATAGAGGACGATGGCACTCGACAGCGGGAGATCTCGTGGATCAGCGTGTGGAACTAGACCGTCGTGTGTTGGACTGGGTTGTTGGTTTGGATACAGAGATGAATGAGTTGGTGGAAGGCTCGGATCTTTACACGCCGAAGGTGCAGCTGGACCAGGTGGTGCTGCCTGAAGAGCACAAGAGCACGATCTTAGAAACGGTGGAGAGTTACGAGAGCTTCCGGAGATATCGCAAGAAGAGCGGACTGGAGCAGGCAGGCATGGCGTATGGAGCTGGACTGGTGTTGTTGCTGTGCGGTGCCAGTGGAACTGGTAAGACTATGACGGTGAACGCTGTCGCTCACCACTTGAAAAAGCGTGTGCTACTAGTGGACTTCCCGTCACTGCAGGGTAAACGTCAAGAAGGTATGGAGACGGACGCAGACTTGCGCGGTCTATTCCGTGAAGCTGACATGAGCAACGCTGTGCTCTTCTTCGATGAGTGTGAGAACATCTTCCGACAACGTGACGGCGGAGGCGATCGGCTATTGAATGCGCTACTTACGGAGATCGAGCGATACGAAGGCATCGTGTTCCTTGCCACCAACCGGCCGTTTGACCTGGACGAGGCTATGCATCGGCGTATCACTGCCGTGTTCGAGTTCAAGGCACCTGACCACATCCAGAGACGGAAGATTTGGGACGTTTTGTTGTTGCGTGGCGCTTTGAAGACCGAGGAAGGCATCGACTGGGACGCGATCGCTCTCAAGTACGAGCTCAGTGGTGGCTTCATCAAGAACGCCATCCTCTCGTCCTTACTGAAGGCCATTTCAAGAAACGGCGAGGCGCCCGTCATCTCCCAAGCAGACATCGTAGCCGGCTGTGCGCTGCAGATGCGTGGCAGTCTACACATGAAGACGTTCGACCATCGCGTTGTGCCTACTAACGGACTGGACGAACTCATCGTCGAGAACTCCGTAAAGGACAAACTGCGTCGCATCGTGCAGTTCGAGAAGGCTCGCAGTGTTATCTACGGCCAGTGGGGCTTTGACTTTGGCCAGTCCAACAAGCAACAGAAAGGAGTGAGTGTGTTGATCTGCGGACCTGCAGGCATCGGCAAGCTGGACGCAGCCAAGGCGATCGGCTTCGAGATCGGTCGACCCCTCAAGGTCGTCAACTTTGGTCAACTGGCAGCAGACTCGGCGGCTGAGACTCGAAAGGCGCTTCGTGCTGTGTTCGACGACGCTCGACTGATGGATGCAGTGCTGGTGCTTACAGGCTTCGAGTCGTTCGGCAGTCACATTGAAGGAGGCGTCATCCCCATCGACAGTCTGGAGTCATCCCCTCGCTTCCGTATGGAGGTGATGAGGCTGCTGGAGCTCATGGACACGTTCCCTAGCACCACCATCTTGCTGGCCAATGTGGACAGAGCTGCAGCGTCGTCTCTTGTGCAGTCCGAGTTCTGTCGGCGGCTTAAGTTCGTGGTGGAGATGAGGAATCCCAACGCTAAGCTGCGTGAGAAGCTGTGGCGCTCTTGTTTCCCGCCTAAAGCGCCGCTGGACACCAAAAAGCCTATCGATTTCCAGCGTCTGGCTGAGCGCTATGATCTGAGCAACACGTCTATTAGTGACGCGGTGTTCCGTGCCGCTGCGAGTGCTGCTCTGCGGGAAGAGAGCAAGCGTGTGATCACGATGAAGGACCTGACTGATGCAGCTGAGATCGAGCGACAAAAAGCTCGTGGTGGCGCTGCTGCGATGGATAATCTCTTCGTCTAAGCATAATGAAAAGCCTATGTATGGAATGGATAACAGAGCGGACACTGTAGCAGAGATGATAGAGGTTGGAGACGGTAGTGGTTAACACGGCATCACCTTCATTCCTTCAGTTGATTGTCCTGATCGACCTGTTTTACTTTCGTCTTTGTCAATGGCATCAGCTCTAGATGATGAAGGGCAGGTCGTCACCGCTGGTAAAGTCCCGCACCACTTCGTTCTCTGTGATGGTCACGGTACGAATCACGCCGCCGGAGCTGCCGTCGCGCGCCATGGCGTGTGCCAGCGCCTTCTTGACAAACTGCTGGCACTCCTCCTTGGTCATATTCGGCCTAAAACACAAATTCAGTCAGCATTTCCCCACTCTACCACTCCAGCTCACTGTTCTACCCACCGATACTCCGAGTCCACGAGGCCGTAGATGTATGTAGAACCACTGCCTCCAATAGCAAAGTCCTGCTCCACCATAGCTCCACCGATGGGGATAGAGAAGACCTGGCCGCCCTTCACCGGGTCCCAGCCGGCCACGATGATACCAGCTAGCAGGCGATCCTTGTTGTGGTAGCACAGCGAGCGGAACAGGTTGGCAGCCGTCCCCACCTTAGGCAGGCGGCCTAGCTCCACACTGTGAGAGCTCAGATAGTAGCGCACGTAGTCGCTCAGAGCCTGCGTGTCCGCAGCCGAGCCCGAGCGACAACAGAACAGTCGGTCGTGCAAAGGTGTGAGTTTGTCACTCACGCGGTTGGCCACGTATGTGCCCGTAGACGTGCGCGAGTCAGCACCCAACACGACACCGCCGTTGAAGCGCACGGCGATGATAGAAGTACCGGCGTCCACCTCGCCAGGCTTGAGGTACGAGCCTTCGTCCACTTCCTGCTTGGTCATCTTAGATCCTTCGCTTCTCTGTATTGAACAGGGGGGCTATTGTGTAAGTTACACTGTAAGATTGTATTGAGGATTTTATGTTGCACGATCTTTTAGTGGAAAAGTTGCACATGCTGTGGGTTACACAAGAACTGTAATCGAGCATAATCTGGATTGAGGATTTTTTGTTCAGATCAAGTTGCACTCGTTGTGGACCACATAAACCTATTGAAAAGCAAACAGCTAAACTATGATCAAGCATGAACTTCAACTTTACTTGGGCGGCTTTTGGGAGTACGGCTTGAACGGCGTCGTGATGACAGTTAGGGCGGCGGTGCGAGCAACGAAGTCGCGCTCAGTCGGCGATAGGAAGGAGTTAGCGTTGTCGTAGTTGGCGTGGGCGTGGTCTTCGGCCACTTGCACCATCTTGTAGACGTGCTCGTCAGGGAATCCGGGCAGGGCGAGCGCCTTCTCACGCAACTGTGACCAGGATGGGAGCGCAGCGAGACAAGCTTCGAGGTCACCGGACGGACTACAGACGTCTTCCTCGCGGAAATCGCGGGATCGGGAGGTCACCAGCGCCGACAGCGCCACGTGCAGCCACACCCGCCACGCCTTCGCCTTGTCGGACGGCGACAGCAGATGCTCCAGTTGCTGGAGCGACCAGGCCGACGTGGCAGCGTGGAGAATGATGAAGTCGTTGTGCTTTAACATGACGTATAGCCACATTACAATGTCGAGAGCGTAGCTGCCGTCAAATTTGGAGAAGTCGAACTCGTTGATCTGATTCCAGATGAGAGCAAAAGCCTCAGGACTGTTGCGTTCCGGGTGTCCAGAGAATACGTTGACACCGCGCTGGATCCAGCCAATGTCGAGGTCCTTGACTGGCGAGATCGCAACGAGACGATCCTGCTCCGAGCGTAGGAATTCGTTGCTAGTGACTGCGGCCACGACTTCAAACACTGTTTGACGGGTGAATTGGCGCAGTGGCTCTTTAGGAAGCGCCATCTTTGGCTCATCAAACGGCAAGTAGCAGTGGTGCTGGTAGGCGAGTCCTTCAGCTACAAAACGGTCACCGCCTATGTGATACGCATAGCCCAGCTGGATAATTCCGTGCAGCAAAGCGCCAGCCAAGCCGCTGAAAAGGTTTGGCAAATGCTTGCGCACAGCTCCATCGACTCCGAGTTTCTTGACGTCGTGAGCGTAGTACGCAAGCAGAGCATCGTACTGCTGGCGCTTGCCCAGCAACGCTCGAGCTTCTTCATCCGAGAGGATATCGAGTGCTTCGACGTGCTCTACGACGTCTTCGTGGTCAGGGCCCTCGGCTTCGAGTTTTTGCGTGTAGTGCGCGGCGTAATCTGCGATCTTTTGTTCGTTTGCACCGAGATCATGTAGCGCCACAACTGCGTGCAGCAGGTGGTTGGACAGGTAGTTGCCGTACTCGATTCTGAAGCGGAGAGTCGAGTACTCTCGCGTTAGAGTTTGGCGAACTTGCTCAGCCGATAGCTTTGTTTGGACCGCGATATCAGCATCGGAGACTGGGGTGATGGCCATGGTTGCAAGCGGAGAGGTGAAGTTGGTTGGTGAGATGCGCTATTGCAGGCAAATTGAAAAATGACTAACCGACCACCATGTTTTCAATAGCTGTGTAGGATCACATTTGGTTGCATAGATTCTGGTGGTCGGACTTGGTGCGGTAGGACATTGGTGCTCGTCTCTTGGTGACTCATCTGATCGTCCACACCTTCACTCACGAAACTACATGAACATGTAGACGAATTTGCGCAAACAGAAAGCTTCAACGACTGTAACTTTGTCCATCAAGTCCTCGGCGAAATATTACGCTTGATGGTAAATTTAGCTGTACGGTTATAGGATGCCGAATTGAGCAGAATTTCGTAGGAGACATGCCCGATAAGGGGCTGAGAGATGCTCGGGAAGAGCAACAGGAGCTTGAGGCGCTGCATCGACTTGATGAGGAGTGCGTTCACCAACAACGAGCCGTAGGTTTATGAGTGAAGCTTGTGCGCTCGTGTTCCTGTTCTGACATTTTTTAATGACGCAGGGGAATTATCTCAAGGCCTTTGACTGTATGGAGCGAGCTCTTGTTCTGCGGCGGCACTTTTTTGGTATCGAAAGTGAGGAGGTCATACAGGCCTGTCGAGCACTTGCAGAGATGTGCAACCTCTTGGGCATGAGCTTTTTACAGCAAGACAATTACCCAGTGACTATTGACTTGCTAAAGAAGGCGGAGGTGCTTACTCAACGCCATCACCCGGTCGAACGAGCCACAACGCTTAACAACTTCGCATGTTACTACCGTCGACTGGGTAAACTTCACTCAGCTATGACGAGTCTGAAACACGCATTGGACCTAGAGAAGAAGCTGAAAAATGTCCGCAACGCTGCAGATACACAGTTGAACATGTGCGCCGTTCTATCGCAGCTAGGGAAGCATCAAGATGCTTTGGAGCATGCGCAAGATGCACTTATTACTCTACAGGAAGGATTTATCCACGACAAACGCAACGTATCTACTGATAATTCTACTGGAGATTCAACAAGACTTGATCGAATTTCGGTCATGTGCATTGCGTATCACAATATTGGAGTGGAGCAAGAATTTCTAAAGGAATATTCGGAATCCGTTGCAAGCTACAAGAAGGGAATCGGCTTGGCAGAGCAATATCTTGGCGCAGATCATTCAATCACGACCACCATCCGAAACTCATACCTTGCAGCGAAGCGAACTTTGGCTACTAAGGTGAAAGTTAAACCTGGCCCAGGTAATCACGATCAAAAGAGCCCTAAAGCTGGTGCAAGACTTGTATCGAGTCCTCGAGGTGGATCTCTTCGGATGCCAAGCCCTCTGTCGAACGAGAAAGATCATCGCAATGGCTTCCCAACACCACGTTCCATTATTACAGAAGCTTTATCAAGATCTCCTCTGTCAGCATTACCGTCACTCGAGGTACAAAGCCCTTCATGTGCAAGCAAGAAGAAGAAAAATACAGTACCCGATGAAGTGAAGAGTGCAGCTCCGTCGCTGTCCCCTACAGATCCATTTTTCAGCCCTCGGTTCAGATTTGATAGCGATATGACTCGACCAAAACCTAAAGTGCTCGCAAGCATCGCGAATCCCAGGTCAGCAGCACTAGCCGATGGGGAGGTACGATCTTCATCAAACAGCAGTAAGCGTGAAAGGAGGAAAAGCAGCGTGAAGAAGCCTCCATTGACAAGTGAAACCCGTCGAAATGGTAGAAAAATATCAACTGATGAACGCGTGAAGAATGCGACGACACCTCGAGAAACTGAGGAGAACTCGACTGCGAATGCGCCTTCACTGCTTAGTCCGACTCATGATAGTAGTGATGAAAAAGCTGGTGGTTATATCGATGGCTCCTCAAATGAAAGCATGAAACAAGAACGCAATGGTGAGATGCAGAATCTACCGGTGGCTGGTGGAATTGAAGGGACTGAAGTATCAACAGCTTTGACTATGTCAAATAAATCCTATCTGCCCGACGCCGTCACATGCGAAAAACACGAGATTAAGAGTAACGAGGAGTACAATGGTACAGCGGATTGCATTAGCCTTGTGGATCAAGAGTTGGATCGAAACATTCCTACGCCACACACAGTTTGTTCGGAAGATACCAGCCATGATATCCAGGCCAATGACCTGAATACTGATGGAGCAACCTCACCGGTGACAAATGTTATCGATAAAGTTACAGAAGTGAGTCTGCACACTTCTCTAACCGAGGTTAGTTCAGAGGAAGAAAATGCAATCATGGGTCCGGCATTTAAGCCGCAAGAGACAATCGAAAATCGCAATTCTCACGATCCTGCTTCTGGAATTGTAACTAATGATGACAGTGCGGAACCAAGTGATGGCGCTGTTAATGAGGTGGAAGGAGGCCAAGACCATAAAACACCAAAGCCGAATACCTTAGTGGATACTTACGACGAAGTCACGGTTGTTTCCGATTCTATTGAAGAAATTCCTAAGGAGCAGTCTCGTCACCTTGTAGTAGATGCCAGATATTATGGTAACGCTGAAGTCGATGCCGGCTTTGCCGATCAAGGTGTAGATGGAACTATGAACACTGGAAGTTCAGTCGACGAAGCAAAAGCTAACGTTGATGAAAGGAACCCTCATTACTCTCATGAAACTTTAGATGTCGAGAGCGCACAAACTAACGTTCCAGACGGCCGAAGCGCCCTCGAGTCAGCACTCGCCGTCTCGGCTGAGAACACTGTAGATCTTGAGAATGCTGAAATTCACAATACGAACGAGGTATCATCCGAAATGAATCCCGAGACTGCCATTGAAAACCATGCAATAGATGAAGATGGTGAGGCATTTACTTTATCGGAAGACCAGTCTCATTTATCAGCTACTGATGTAGAAGAAGTCGACAGCGCTATCCCCGATGGTTTTCTTTCAGCTAATGATTCAAACCCCAACGATATTGAAGCTGCAATTCCTGTAGAGCCATCGACTAAAGATCAAGTTAGTTTACTTGATGAAGGCCAAGGGAACTCACTGGTTGACGCACAAGAGCAGTCTTTCGATCAAGACTCGATTCAACCAGAGTCATCGGATGCTGTTGATGAATGTGCAAGTGCAGCGATTGGCCACGAGGCCCAAGTGAACCATCTATATATTGAAGATCACGGATTGAGCGAAGAGTTCCATCCCACGATAGAAAGTTACGAAGCTGGAGCTTATTATGACGAGAACTGCACTGTAGTTGCAGTCGACACTCAAGGAAATGCATACGAACGTGATGAAAAAGTAGATCACCAACTATCGGAACAGGAGTTTGTCGATCAAACTGAACAAGTTGTTGATAGCTACGAACGACAAGGTTACGAAGCCGTGGAAACGCCATACAGTGGCGATACTCAGCAAGACTGGAGCGAGCCTTTCGTAGCTGAACATGCAGCGGAATACAGCGATTATTATCAAGACGCCTCAGTACCTTGGCAAGAAGAGCAGCAGTCTTATGTTGACTATGCTGATAGCATCAGCGATCAAGCGCATGAAGGTGAAGTTTCAGATCTCCCTACCAGTGTTGATCCGAATACTAGCGCTGCCGACGTTGCCATCAATGCTGAAGATGCTGTAGCAACCGAGTGAGCCCACCTCACAAACTAATAAATCATTTGCGCAAAATATGTTTTCTATATTGAAGCTGCTAGATCTTCTTCACATGCGAAACAATTCGTGCCGCAGCCTTGTGAGAGTAGTCAGCAGTAATTGCCGCAAGTCCGGATTTGCCACACTCTCCACGTCTTCTTCAGTAAGGAACGCGATGCTGCTTAGCGTCCGGTACCCACGCCGCTCCAAATCAACTCCAAATGCTGTCAATTCCGGGTGACACGCTGCCATCCACTGGATCACTTCGCCTTGCTCGCACACTGAGGTATACACATTGTCAGTATCCTATTTAGAAATGTCCACTCAACGCAAACGCACCCATGCTGAAGATGGTAGCGCTCTCCTGAGCGTCCGACAAGCGCCTCCTGACCCGCGGACTTAACGCAGTCTCTCCATCTTCTTCTAGTCGAGAACTCGCCTTCTTTAGCTGACGAACCTGCGGGTCGACGTCGATCTTCACCTTGTGCTCCGGCTTCACTGGCACCGCAGCACGAGGTGCAGCCGTCGACGACATCGGAACAGCCTTCATGCTCGTCGGAGGCATCACAATTATTGCTTCACTCGCCCCAAATTGGCGCCATCAACTGCATCATCTCATGCCGAGGCCATGAACCCTGACAAAAACAGCACTCGTCCTTGCCTCTAATAATACACAACAGCAACTTAAGCAAGAAGAATAGTCCGATCCGAGCCACAAAATGAATACATCGCATTGCAGGCGACACCACCCGGTCTTCTCGCACTCTATCCGCGCGTCCGAGCGAGTACTTCACTCTCTCTGTCCACCTAGCTATACTAGCAGCAGCGACCGACAGCATGGCAGAAGAGGTACAATAACCCTCTCCCACCTCCTCGTCTGTTCTTGGATTGCGTAGCAGCTCTAGACCGCCATAGCAACCCAACGCAAGTCGTCTGTATTTTCTCTGTTGCCTGCTTAGATGTCGTCGAAGTCGAAACCAATGTCGTCCTCACCGTCGCCCTCCATGGCCATGTCCACTGCCGTTTCGTTAATACGTGCGTTATCTGGCAGCTCTCCGTAGGCCTTGAGACTACGAGCCTCGTCAGCGTTGTATTTATGAATGATGTCCACCTTGCCGTCCTGGTACTCGCGCAGACTCACGAGGATAATGTCACCAGCGCCGACCCACACTTTTTTGCGCATTTTGCCGCGGATGTGGCCAAGACGTGTCACGCCGTCGAAGCAGTAAGCCTCCAGACGGCCGTTACCCAGCATTCGTACAACCTGTGCATATTCTAAGTATACAATGTATACATTAGTTCGATGTATACAAGCCAAAGCTTTACGTTTATAGTGCCGTTTAGCAGCGGGAAAACGCACCCTGTCCCTCCTCCTTGAACTCGAGCTCGCGCTTGTTCTCCTCGTTGTCGTTCTTTCCGCGGCGGCGGTTCTTGCCCCCCTTTCCTTTGTTCTTCGGCATCTTCGCTCCTTCGCTGTCGAATCCGAACTGAGGTGGCAGCCATCTTCGGGTGGTTCGCACGCAAGACACTTTGGACCAATCACGCCCTTGAAATATTCTTTCTGCCAATCATATTGTGTAAATTGCCACCTAGCCCTCTTCTCTACCATTGTCTAATTCGGTAAATATGGATTAAAAGCGGTAAAATAACGCAAGTCACGTCTGATCCATTGGCTAGAAATGCAATTCTCGCCATCCTTGAAATGACGTTCACTCTTTGCATGTGCGCACTCGACGTGCGATCCTTACTCTTCCTGGCGCCGTATCCCCGCTCTCCCGCTCCTTGTCGTCATATACACTAATCTCACCCTATCTGCATCTATTTCTCTTTGTAATGGCGTCTCCTGCGCCTTCGCCCGTGCCTTGGCGGCGTCGCGAGGTTTTGTCGCGCTCTAACTCGCGGCCTCCGAACTACCCTCTGCGCCGCTCCGTGGACGCTAGCTCCAGCTACAACACATTTCGAGGCAGCACCAGCAACCTATCGAGTATGGCGTCTTCCTATCCAGTGCTAGGTCTGTCCACGCTGGCGGCGCGTAAGCGGCTACTTCAAGCCATCGAACGCAAGATCCGCGAGAAAGAGAGCTCGTCAAACGTCACGACCGAGTTCCGGGATCCATTCTCACTACTTCTAGCGCTCTGCGCCACCTTCCGATTCACAGATTCGGCCAGGCGCTTTGCAGAGATGGAGAAGGACCGAGGTTCGGCCGCAGTGGGGGAAGGACTGTTCCTAGTCGCCGCCGCAGCTGGCAACGTGCTGCTTAACATGACGCAGAAGCGTCGACATCATGCAGAGATGGCCGAAAGAGTTCGAGTAGCCGTGCAACAGATGCAGATAGATAGTGACAAGAAGAAAGAGGAGGAGGAGGACCAGGGCCCACCCATTTGGCTGGGCAGTGGATTCGAGCCGACAGTGCTGCTGCCTTCGAACAGCTACGTCGCGTGCTACCGAGACAGTCAGTGGCAGCGACTGCCTATGAATTTGTTGGTGGAAGGAGATGTGGTAGGCTTAATGAGTGGAGATATTGCACCGGGAGAAGTGCGACCTGTGGAAGTGGATGGAAATGAAGAGCAACAAGTGTATCCGAGGGGATGCAAACTGCCGTCCTGGACGAGAAGACACGCGAAGGATACTACGAGATGCACGGCCACGTTTGATCCGCCGTTGCTATTGGATTTGTGTGGTGAGATGCGGATTTTTGAGATGCTGGAGACGCCCGTAGTGAGGGATATTGAGGACGCGTTGTTTCGAATTAACAGGCCTGTGACTCCGACGCAGAAGCTACAGGCACAGGCAAGACAGCTGGCGATTTATATCTGCACGTTGTATTCGGTTTTGGTGCTAGTGGCCATTGGGCTGCGTGTGGTGGTGCAGCATCGGTCGTTGGACACCACGCTTACCCACATTTTGCTCGGACCTATTGGGATTTGGTTGTGTTTTGCGTCGTTGAACACGCCGCTAGTCTTATTTGTCGCCGAGGCCGCTGCAACAGCATCCATCCTAGGATCATTTGATGATATCTTGGCACCGAAAGATGCCAAAAAGCAGGAACAGGCTGCGGAAACAGCCACTGATGGATGTGATGAGGAAGAAACACCAGAGAAATCTGCATCGAAAACGAATGAAGGCACACCAAAGGTGCCCAAGAAAGACCCACGACGTCAAGATGAGCTTGTGTCCAGTATTGATAGCGCGATGGCATCAATCTTGAAAGCTACAGCGTTTGCGCCGCCAGATATCTACGACGTTGAAGACCGTGAAAAAATGCGCTCGGAGAAGGCTCAAAAGCAGTCGGCGACCATGCGATCGCTGCAGTATTTTCTAGTGGTGCTTCGGTTTCGAGTCATGCACTGTGGCCTTGCGCATGTATCTGACCAGCGGCATCTTCCTGTGCCATTTCGGTCATTCCGCCTCTTGGAACGCTTGGGTAGCGTCACGATGCTGTGTTGCTTTGACGACGACATTTTATGCGAGCAAGCACCGTCTGTGGAAGAAATATTTCTTCTAAACGACAAACAAAGCAACAATTCCACAGTTTTGGACTTGCATGCTGAGCGAAATTGTGACACTGGGCTACAATTCGAGGACCCCAAGTGGAAACAACACTTACCATCGCTAAAGCCGATTGGGTTGGCTATTATGGTGAACGATGACGAGAATCCGGCGCGACACTACGAGGAGAACATGCGCTATCTTGTGAATGAAGGACTCTGTCCTGTTGATGATGGTGATACAAGAGATCCGTACTTGCGTAGCTGTATGCAGCGACTATCAGCTCACATTCGGATGCTTCCCTTCCCGAAGCATTTACTGAATCTCTCACGTGAAATGGGCTTCTCAGTCGCTGATGATTTGGCGTCGTTCCAGAGGAGACAGTCCATTCACATTATTTGTCCTCAACTGGCGCATCATGAACACACAAATGATCATCACGACCAGGGTCAGGAAGATACACGATACCGGGGGAATCTCAAGTCGCATCTCTATTCTACCGTGGTGCTTGACAAGCGCTCGCATCGCCACCAATTACTGTCACGTGGCCACCCAACGGTCGTGTTGGCTCATTGCAGCGAATACTGGGATGGCAAGTCAATATGCCCGCTCACTAGTGAAAAACAACGCGCGATCCTCGACATGTATAACCAGTGGCGCGTTGAGGACTTGGACTGTATCGCGTTTTCTTACGTTCCCGTGCCTCACAAGCTCAATAGCCTGTTCAGCCGTCATGGTTCTAGCAGCAACGGAGGAAGTTTTATTGAGTCACCGAACACTGGACCAAGTCGCAGATTGGGTGGCACTCTACCGCCAGTGTATCTCGTTGATGATAGCGCGGCCAGTGAGTTGAACTCCCCACAGTCTATGGCTCCGCGGAACAGCATGCCGTTCTCCAGCAGCTTGAGTGAAGATCAAGGATATGGCCGGGATAACAGACGTATGAGTTATTCGGGTCCAGCATCACCTTTAGCCTCCCCAGACTCAGTAGATGACATGTCGCTAGATCAAGAATCAATCTCAGGCGTACGAGCAGCCAAGTCTGCAGGGGCTCCTCCAAGCGGACAGATCACCCCTCCTTCTAAGCGACGTGGACATCTTACAATGAGTGACCTTGAGTCGTCGGTGGGGCTTCATCCATCAGAAACAAGCTCTGTTGAGAAGGATTCAATGCTCTGGCGCATCCAAGACGACCAGATCTTCTTGGGCATGGTCGCGACTGGCGTCCAACCGAAGCAGCATACCCCTGACTTTATCGAAGACTTGAATGCGTGTGGCATTCGATTCGTGTACTTCTCTCCGCGCAATATGCGTAGAAGTAAACTACTCGCCGAGAAAATGGGCATCGAAACGGACTGGAATTGTGCTATATCACTTCGCCCATTGGAAAGTGATGGCCCGGATCCTCATCGCATGACATCAAACTACTCGGATTGGGACGTGAAAGCTCGACTACCGCACGGAGTTGAGGCGATCAAGCGACATCTGGGTGAGGTGGATAACGTCCCATTGCTGGTGTCACTTTACACGGATAGCACGCCTGATACGATCAGTGAGATGATTTCGATCTTTCAGGAAAACCACGAGGTGGTTATGGGTGTTGGTTCGTCACTGAAGGAAAGCAACGCGCCACTGTTCTCGAAGGCGGATCTGGCGGTAGCCTTACAGGGTGGTGTGCACGCGTTCTTCGACAAGCCGCTTCCAGAAGGAAAGGAACTTCCAGTGTTCTCTGATGAGGATGTTCAGTTCAGTCACATTTTAAACACACTGGCATGTGCCTTTCGTCTCAAGAGTGCTCCAGATGACGCTGGCATCCAAGAAAAGCAACGCTCCGAGTCCAAGGATAATGCAACTATGGATGGAACTGCTAGCGTGGCCCATCTAATTGAGCTCATCCGGCTGGGACGACGTATGCTCACGAATTTCCATCAGATGAACACGTTCATGTTCGTCTCGCAGCTTTTTATCGCCAGCGTCATCCTCGCGTCCTACGCAATACCGTTCCCACACGTACCGCAGCTATCGTGCGCCTCCATTTTCTGGTTGCTATGGGTTTTGGTGCCAGCTCTCGGTTTGTCCATGCTTGCGTCTGCAAGCGAGAAGGGCATCATGAAGAAGACTCCACGCAAGAACGAAGAGTTCGACACCGAAGAGGATCTGCCGCGGCTGGTCGCCTACTTTGTGGGACGTCATGTGCCTTCGGTATTGCTGTCCATTGCCGTGTTCGAGTGCTTACTTGGGTTTTCTCTACAAGCATCCAACGTTACTGATCCAAACATCTTTGGAGAAAAGTTTCGTGGTTACGGATGGGCGGATTTCGTTCTAGACAGTGAATTGGTGACTATGGTGCCAAGACCCGCCGTTGTTTCGGCCGCAGTGGATCGTGCTGAAGCTGGTATGTTGCTGATGATAGGCATCTGTATCGTAACCTCGTCTTGTGGATATCTGTACCGATGCGAGAGTATGTTCAAGCTATCTCCATTCCGAAACATCATGTGGGTGACGACAGTATGTTTGCTGCTGTTCTTCCAGTTTTTCCTGAGTATGCTCCTTGCGGGAGTCGCTGGTGCAGATGGAGTTACTCTTTGGCATTTTGTGAGCCAGTCAGTACCTTGGATTTTCTGGGTCGTAACTTTGGGTGTGTGGCCCTTGGCGATCTTAGTCATTGACGAAGCAATCAAGATGCATGACAAACGACACCTTGTGCGCTATGACAAGTTCCTTCGGATGCAATTTGACACTCGCCTTGGTATGTGGAGCCCCAAGTAATTTGATCCGTGAGGGGTGGGCAACGAGATACATTCGATTAAGCATTTGAAATGGGCTAACTCTCATTCACCGCGTCCAAGTCACTTCTCGATGTCCGGATTGCAAGCGCTACCTTTTGAATCTCTGGTATCTCTGGATTGCGATGCATGTATGATCCGGAAATCACACGAGTACCCGCGTTCGTGTGTTGTAGCACATGCATTCGTGGCTTGTGGAAGTTCAAATGGCCTGTGCCACACGGTTAAGCGTCATTTTTATGGGGATACTTGAACTCGAGATTTTGAAAATCGTTCATCCAAAACGGAAGACTTTGCGCATTGTACATGCGAAGAAAATACGGGGACAAGACAAATAATTGCACGAAACGAGAAGCTAACCTACATGAATTCAAGGAATCGACTTTTGGGGAAGTGTCTGGTAGGGGTTGACAATCCGGATAACACTAAGCGCGCTGGAAATTGCAAACTCCTCGTAACTCTGTGGCGCGCTGTTGACATCGATGAGAATTTGGTAAGGAAATTTTTGATTGTACTTGTTGTCCACGATGATAAGTGTAAACAACACGCTCAGGATATGGCGAGGGCTTGGCGCGAGAGTCTGCTACGGCATGAAACGTCAATGTCGATCATGTGACGCCGAAGATGACGATACACAGGGCAAAACCTTTGGTACAAGCTTCTGGACACCCACAACCCTGATGAGTTCGTTGTTTGGCGGAGACGCTATTCTTTGGACATGATATTGGGACGTTGCAGGCACAATCTCAGCGATAGCAAAACGACAGATTTATACCAAAGCGCACGTTCGAAGTGAGGTCGGAATCGTACAACATTGGCGAATGTTCTCGTTTGATGCTCAAAACTGCTCTGTCATAGTTCTTCCTGGTACGTCGTAAAGACTACGTGGTCGAAGTGGAACAAGAAGTAACAGAACAGCAAAATTTGTAAGTACTTGTCTGGGGTACAAAAAAAAACTCGACGTCCTCGTGGAAAGCTTCGGTGTAAGCAGCATATCATGCAGTGTCGTCACTTTTACAATGAACTCACTTCGTTTGCTGGAACTAAACGGAAATTTTGGATACGTTGCGCTAGCCACTTCACGGCTGAAGTCGTTTACACAACTGCTCTTTGTCCTCGAAGATCTTTTCTGAAAGAATACAGTCGAAAATCTTTGGTTTGATCATGCAAATGGTCATTCTTCTGGGTTATCCTGAAGTGCGGGATTTGAGCTGGGACGCAGGTTTGACCGCAATAAACTCGCCTTCATGCGCGGTTGGCAGAATAACAAAGGTTCTCGTAGCTCAGTGTCCGTTGCATGTTCATTTTCCTGGAAGTTTGTGACTGGTTTGCTACAGTTGTTCACCCACACAATGTAAGTCACTAGTAGGAAGGATCAATTATCTTGATAAGTACAGTACTGGTACGTCCTGTCGTCCTAATTGGTAATACGCTCCATCTCCAGGCTCGCCAAAATGAAGGCTCCCTCACCGAGGGCGTGGTTGTGCACGATCGGCCTGCCAACATAGTACTCGTATGTCGCCGTCGAGTTGAGGCTGCACACCGCCACAGTTCCGTTCCAGCCCAGGGTGCCGTTGTGGTAGTCGAGGAGGAAAGCACCACTCTTGACAGTGTAGTCATAGGCTTTGGTCGCGGTGTTTAGAAGCTTGCCGGCTTTGTCTTTGAGCATACCGAGACGCAGACCCTTGAGAATAGAAAACGTGTACAGCATCGTGGAAGAGCTCTCGAGGAAGTTCCCTTTTTTACCACCGAACGTAGGAAGTTGCCACCAGACACCCGTGGCCTTGTCGGCGTAGGTAGCGATGCTCGTGCAGAGTTGAGAGGCCTGGAGCTGGATCTCCTTGGTCAGACGCACACAAGCGGCATTGGATCCGCCATAACAGTCTCCGAGCTTCTCCCACGCGTTGACTAGACCAGCGAGGTACCAGCCCAGCGATCTGCCCCAAACGTAGGGACTAGCACCAGTAACCTTGTTGGCCCACACCGCCGTCTTGGAGGCGTCGTAGCCGTGCACCACCAACGCAGTGGACTTGTCGTAGGTATTACGGTAAAGCAGCTCGATCTGCAATAGCATATCCTCGTACGACCAGCCCGGTGCAGTGGCCATGTAGGGCAGGAACGACACTGTGCCGTCGAGGTACGACCAGTTCGGGTAAACGTAGTACCAGAAACCATGGTACTGGTTGCGGTTCTGCAGGGTCAGAGAGGAGTTGAGCAACGATAAGGTATCTGACTCGGCTGTTGTGAGAGTGCCCTCAGTTGCGTTGATATGGAGGAGGGCCTGGCCGATGGTAAGTCGGTCCATGGGCATTTTAGCCGCGGCTTCGGGGCTCTTGAAGGACGGTGAAATAGACGTTACGATCGAGTCTGCGTATGTCGTGAAGTTGGCGACGCGTTCCGAGTCACCGTCCTGGCCGTGGGTGTGTAGCCATGACTGAATCGCGAGGGCGAGGACACCCGACTCGAGGGTGCTGGTCACGGCGCCCGACGACACCACACCCTGCTTGCGGCTGATCACGCTCTCGATCATCCGCGTCGAGTACAGAAAGTCATTCGATGCGGTCGTGACGGCGGCAATGGCGGCTGCGATGAAGGGGAAGAGAAAGCTCTTCATGGTGCTGGTAGAATGACTTCTGATCGGCACTGACTCACTGCTGTCTGTTGTGGAAGTGGTAGTTCGACTTGTTGGCGATGCCAACTTGCCATGGTTGTGGCCGTGACTCACGGCTGCTTACTTTGATTATTCTACGGTCCTGTCGTATTCTTGTAAGAAATGAAGCGAGATGTGCTCCAACAAATGGCGAGACATTCGCACTGGACGTTATCTCGCTTTGTCTCGGACCACGGATTCCTTTTACTTCAGAAGTAGTACTGCTGGTTGACTGGCATAGACATGTACCCCGGCTCAGGGTAAAAACCTGTCATACTTCTTGACTAATGCCGTGCCGTGCCCGGAGAAGCTCTGAATATTTGCGAATTAGCGTTTAGTTTAACTACTGTAGTTTATTTGACGTGACCAGTGGACGTAAGTTTGTTGCTGAGCAAGGCGGCCGAGGGCAACTTGCCACTTCTAAGTGAAAATCAATTTTTCAGCCAATCAAGCTTCGGTATAAGGAATGTTGTGCGAAGGTCGCTTTTCACAGACTGGGTCAACATTCGCTGATTTTGAATAAACGTAAGACGGGTTATAAAGTTTTCCGTTTTATAATTTGAATTTTCC